AGCAACACAGTGTTGTCAAAACGAATCTTTATGTGTGTAAACAGCCACGAAATGTACGTGCGTGTAATTTTGCGTGTGTATATGTATGTGTGTGTGTATATGCGTGTGCGAGTACCTGTCAAGTGTGATATATCTGTATTAAACGAAACAGATCCAAACTCTGATAACTCTGATTAGCAAAAATAGAAAAAAAGGATTTTTACACGGAATATCAATAAATCTTCTTGACGTTTCGCGAAATGAAAGATAAAAATCAAAAGGAAAAAAAAAAAAAAAAAAAAAAAAAAAAAAAAAAAAAAAAAAAAAAAAAAAAAAAAAAAAGACAGAAGAAAGAAAGAAAGAAAGAATGAAAAAAAAGAAAAATATCAAGATCGAAGTTTTTTTCACGTTTTTACAAGGAAAGCCCTTCAATATCTCGTATTATCGTTCGTTTACATATAAATTCTTCTATGGGATTTGCGATTTCAAAAAGATGGTCGAATGGGCCGATTCCACGTGCGAGATCAACGACAACGGTTTCGCGAATTTTTTCCCGCAGAAACGGCAATACATCCTGTCCCCCTTCACCCTGCAATAATTCTTCTCGTGTCTTCGAAGGCTGTCGAGACGCGAGAAACTTTTCCCGCATTCCTCGCAGATCACGCTCTTCGCGGCCTTCTTACGCTCCTCCACTTCCGCTAATTCGTAGCTGCTGGCAACGAACTCGAACAGAGTTTGGGGCACCTCGTACTCGTTCTCCTGCTTCACGAACCAATCGCTCAGGTCCGCTCGTTTTCCCCCTGCGAAGAACGAACGCCTCGTGTTAGCGAATTGATTAACTTTGGTTTTTTTTTTTTTTTTTTTCTTAGTCGATTTTCGATTTTCGAAATATGGAAACGGGACAACGCATGCATCGAAGGAGACACGAATTTTTCGACTGCTGCTTCGAAGTGATAGTGAACATAAATATAGTTTTATAAGTAAAAATTTTGTTATTCCTAGTTTGTACATCGACAAGTACCGTGATATATATATATATAGTTAAACGAAAAGTGAACGTTTAAAACACACACACACACACACACACATACACATACACACACACACACAAACACCTTTCTCGTTTTCCATCAATTTTTATTCGTCACTCGCGTTCATGCGTGTATTACATATTGAAAGGATTAAAATGAAAAAAAAAAGTGTTTCGAAGTGTTTATTGTTTATCGTGAAAGTGACAAAAATTGGAATAGAATTTTTTTTTTCACGACGATTTCAATAATTTCAAACGTGCTGAATATTTTGTTGAAAATTATACCTTCGACAATTTCTATAAGCAATAATCGCAATCTTAAAATTTAACGATACGTTCATCTTATACAATGAGTTTCTCTGAGTTTCTTTGATTTTCGTCGGAAAATTTTCGAAATTTCATTCGCGATTCTGCTTTTACAAGGAAAGAAAAATGATTTTCCTAAAAGCGAAAATTCATTGTTCGTTGTTTTTCAATGATAAAAAAAAAAAAAAAAAAAAAAGAAAAAGAAAAAATGGATAATAAAACGTTTCGAAAGGAGATCTGGTTAGATTTAATCGATGACGTTGAATAAAGCAAAGCTTAAACACACAAGCTGGAATGTGCACAATATTACAATGAGATAGAAAAATTAGTGACTGTAAAAAAATTGTAAAATTAGCTCGCCACGTTACAAAGCTTCTTCCTAATGTGCATGATTTGTCATTGTATATTATATTGCGCTGTTAGTTCATGCGGTATTAAAATAAATTGTAATCGTCGTTACACGAGTTACACGATTAATCAGATTAAGAAAGATATAAATATTTTTGAGTGAAATGCGTCATCAAATAAAAAGAAAAAAAAAAAGAAAAAATACAAATAATTAAACAAATAATTAAAAGAAAATAGAAAAAAGATAATATAATAGGCTAAAATTATTATCCTCTTAAATCATCAGTGGCTATTATAACCGTTTTCAGCTTCGCCTCCTAACTCGTACCATATATATATATATATATATTATAAAAATAATATATACATATATATTCTATGAAACTTGTGAAGAATGGATTTTCATCAATTGATCCCATCTCAACAAACATGCAAATGTTGTCGCAATAGATAATTTAAGAGACGGCGTGTTTAGTGTTATAATGATTTTTCAATTCGTATCTCCGATAAAACTCTTTCCGACACAATCTGCAGCGATGCTTGGGCAGCTTCCCGCATTCGAGCCTTTGATGCCTTCGAAGATTGGCCATCCACGAGTACCCCTTCCCACACTCCCCGCACATGTACTGCTGCCGCTCGCGTGCGCCAAACGTGATCAACCGTGGATTAATCATTTCCGGGATCACTTTGATATCCTTGGTCTCGAAGCACTCGAACTCGTTCATCGGGATGGAACCGTCTGGAATAGACAAAGATCGATTAATGCCGGTCGACGATATATCGATTATTTCTGGACGGATGAGTTGGAGGATACATAAGAGGGAGGAGGAAAGTGGC